CACACAGTCTTCAAAGTAAACCAAGCAACCTAAAATGTATTTTGTAATTTGTCTGGCTGCAGCAAGTTCGGCAGCATAGAGAGGCGAAGTCCCTCCCTTTCCGGGGGAGCTCGATGGGACCTTATTTCTAGAAAAATTATGTATTGAAGTCAATGGGGAGAGAAAGATTATCTTTCGATTCCGTTTGAATTGTGCCACGAATTACACATATGATGTTTGTCAATTTAAAAGATCATTTTGCAAGTCAAAAAAATTAAAATGTGTCGTAAAATAACACTTTTTTTTGTGTGAAACCGCTCAAAGAACTAAATCTCCTGTCTCGCACCACACACCAAGACCGCTGTCATGTTGGCACATTTCACTTCTTTTTTTCAGAATGAGGCGAAAAGTATTAAACGAGGTGAAAATCACTACAAGTCTGGGCATGTTGAGAGCTGTACATACACAAAAGGGGAGTTAGTCGGTTCCGTAAGAGCCAGCATGCAGGATGTAGTCTTTCTAGTTGCGTATTTTTCATAGTCTTATATTTCAACTGTTTTACGACAAACTGTGACTTTTTTGACATGGAAATGATATTTTAAGATTGACAAACATCATATGTGTAATTCGTGGCACAATTCAAACGGGATCGAAAGATACGTTTTTCTCTCCCCATTGACTTCAATACATAATTTTTCCGAAATAAGGTCCCATGGGTCGGAAGTAGATGGGCGGGACTTCGCCTCTCTATACAAAATTGAATAGCCTGCATTTATGTACAGCAAACCAAAGGACAAGAGCGGCTCTCAAAGAGAAAGGACAAGAGAGAACAAGGAGATGTAATGGCTAAACTTACGAAATTATTTTTTTTTTGTCATACATCGTCCTCGAAATCTCGATTAATTCTGTAAAGTGATTGTGTGATTAGTTCTCTCTGCTGTGGTGGTATGAGGCCAGCGCAGGCTGTTGTTGATAGCCTACATGTGGCGCTTCTGAGTGGTTGTGTGTGTCCGTGCGTGTGTGAGCGCATCATTGTGCGCTTATGTTTGGGGCGATGGTGAGGGGGGGCCCAAAACAATATTTGCACCGGGGCCAATCACAAACTTGTTACGCCACTGATGCACTTCACCTCACTTAAAATAACATTTGAATACTATAAACTGTATATCATAATGTATATTATATTCTTTGATGTGGTGCTTCGTAACCTTGATGCAGAGTTTTCCTGCTCCGTCCTCCAGGGCACCTTCATGGAGTGCAGGCCGTACGGCAGCATCTCCCACCGTTTCCACCGCGACTGTGCCTCCATCCTGAAGGACCTCAGGTTCTGCCCCCACTGCGGAGAGGATGCCAGCGGTGCCAAGGAGGTCACCGTGCTGAAGGCTGATTCGGCTCCGTCTGTACCCAGATCCAAACCCGGGCCGTCACTTCCAGCTGTTCCAAATATGGCCGCCCTGCCATCAGTACCAACAACGCATGCTGTTCCACGCATACTCAGAGCTAAGAAGAGCAGCGAGCCACAGAGTGGCCGAGACCAGAGCCCGGGCAGGTAACAGCACTCATGTGGCTTAGAAAATCCAATTCCTTCGCCAGGCCAATAAACTCGCAAATATTAAGGCTCATCTTAGTTGATTACAGCTGTCCTGCTGGCTGTCTCTCCAGGTCAAAGGGCGAGGTTGTGTATGCCACAGACAGAATACCCAAAGAGCCACTGGAGAATATCCTGACAGCGCTGGATGATGACAAGTAAGGTTAACCATGTGATTTTTTTGCAGCAGTTTGCTCCTTGATGAAAGTCCTTGGTTGATATATTTTCATATTTTTTAGCCTGAAACCAAAGAAGGTGAAGTACCCCACCAGACAGCTGTACATCTCTGCTAAACAAGGAGAGCTTCAGAAGGTCATCCAGCTGCTAGGTAACTGTTACTTGACATAAAGCAGCATCTCATAAAATAGCTCAATATGTTTTTTTATAATTTCTATTATTACACTGACAAACCAACCATTATACAGTGATGCAAATTAGTCGCTTTTCGGCGCTTCCCGCTTTTTTAACACTGCTTTGGGTGACTTGTGTAATTCGTGGAGAACCGAAGAAGTTTTCGTTGGGGGGGGGGGTCCGTCAGTCCGTCCGTCAGTCCGTCCGTCAGTCCGTCCGTTAGTCCGACGGACAACTTCTCACTTCAAAAAAGAAGAAGAAATCTAGATCGCAAAATAATTAAACAAGCGAGTGCCTGTTTTTCCTGGCCAAGGACAGGTTCCTTGAACACAACACGAGCGTAACGTGTCTTCACGTGGTTATGTCTCGTCTGAAAGGAGTGTAGACTAGACTAAAGTGCTTACGGAGAGCACCGGAACGCCGCTCCAGCTCTTCAAATATTGCAGTACCCATAAGAAGCCGTACACATGCCGCAGTGTATGCTTGGCTGTGTCTTTAGTTTTAAGCACAGTGGCGATCTGTTGTTATTAGCATCTGGTTAGCTAGCTATGCTAACAAATTTAAAGAGCTTTTCTACAACCAGGTGGAAGAGAGCTCTCTCCTGAGAGGCTCAAATAACCTCAGCTCAGTGAGGTTAAGGCACACCTTGATATGATCATTATAGTTATTAATGAGACATTAGAGACTAAATGAAAAACAGGTATAAAATACTATATGACAGTAACAAAAAAGTTGTTAAAAAGATAAAGAGTGATTTGTAAAATATCTAAAAAGAAAAATCTGCTTACAGTTCTGTTTCATATGGGTGTTGAGAGATGTATCCATTGATCTCCTCATGTTGCTCTCAAAGTGCACCAGATTGATGCTTTTAACTTCAATATTTGAAAAAAAAAATCTTCCCGGGGGAGCATGCCCCCGGACCCCCCTAGAGGAGGCTAGGTCCCCCCCACTTAAATCATGTTCACATGGCTAGGATACTAAATACATTTGCACCCATCTTGTGTCCATATCTTTCTGTGTTGGTGGTCATGCCACAACCGTGCACGTGAATGCATGCGCGACAGCGCGAGTCATGGTGAGATATCTGGATTAAGAGGTTGCTTGTTCTTTGAACAGCTTGAAAGAAAGGCCAAATGAATGGGTTGGGATTTTAGTTTTTTTAAGCAGAGGTTGAGTTCAATCATTTGTACGGCCCCCGGAGGATGTTGTACAAATTTAAAGGAAAAAGGTTCCCCACCCCTGCTGTAAATAATAATAAAAACCCTTGATTTATAACTTAACATCTCTGTCTCCTATTGATCTGAGTATATTATAAAGAATATCCAGTTAATTGAAGCATTACAGAACAGGCCTTGGTCAGATGGTATATTACGCTGTTTTTTTCCTGCTTCGAATAGTTCTCTCTTTTTTCACCATACCTGTGTTTGCATCACTGTTCTTAATAGACTGATCAAAGCTGAGGAAGCATCTGTTTTCATTGATGACTCTGATGAATACCAATTGTTCCTTAATGAAAGCACATTCACATGTCCTTAATTGTCATGAATTAACTCCATTTCTCCACCTCAGAAATGCCTAATTAGGCCTAGAGAACTAATAAATACATAATATTCCTTTTAACGTGACTAAAGGAAGTGAGACTACCTCACATGACGCATGGTCGCAGGGTGGGCTGAGACCCTGTTTTTAGCTCCGCAAAAAGCTCATACACTGCTTTGATTGGAAACTGTTCACTGAGGAAGACACATCAAGGCTAGGAGGAATGCAAGGCTGAAGTTCAAGTGTCATCAGTCTGAAATAGGATGGATGGCATGAGGTCTACTTGTGGTATGATTTGCCGGTCAACAAGATGAAAAACAATAGACCTTGTCAGAATGAAGAGGAAAATGTCACTCAGCCGCTCTGTCAGTAGTCCTCTGCTTACAGAATAAAATAACTTAAATGAAAAACAACCTTTTTTGCAGCATATTTCAAATAAGTTTCACCCATAAATGAATTCCAAAAGTTGTGTGAACAAATTAAAGGCGAATAAATCCTTTAATGGATATCGCCCTTTACACACTTTTTCTTCTTTCTGCTGGCATGTTTTGAATAAGACTGATTTTATTTTAATGGTGTTATTAATTATATGCCGCAATCAGTTTAAGCCTTCTAAATGGCAATATATTAAGTTGACCAGTCAATCAGCAGGGCCATTAATCAGCTTTAGATTAAACATGAGGGAGATGGGAGGGTGAGACAATGATAGATTTGCGTCTTTTGGACTGTCACTGTGTTTCTTTCCCCCAAAAGCCTTATGGTTCATTACATTTAAAGCATTACCGCGGTTATTTTCAGCTCTGCCTCAAGTTTGTAGGGAACTCTGCTGTCCTATAATAACCTTTAGGGCACACGCAGTCTATGAAGATGGCACATTAAACGTTTTTAAAGCATTAAATTAACACGTTGAATGTTTTTGACAGTAAACACTTGGTATTAAGTTATCACTGGTGCGCTCAATTGTCAAGGTTGCCTTATGCAAGACATTTAATGTGCAATAATAGTAATTGGAAATGTATTTTAATTTGAAGAAATTATAATAAGCCAGGTATACTTGTAAAATAATTGCATATATCAGGTATTCATGATTAACATTTATTTTCATAAAATACTTTCTTTTAAACTCGGGACATTTGAATACAAAAATAAATAAAGCACAATTTGTCTTTTTAATGAACCTAAATAATCTGAATTTCTAATAATAATAATTATAGCACCAATAAATCCAATTGAAGGCAAAATTCAACCGAAAACACCGTAACAACCAAAATAGGTGCATACAATTAACGTGTAAAACATTTTAATCATCTTTCGTAAAGACACTGATGACATTTCAAACACAATTAATTGTCAAGGTTGCGATGACCCGGGTGAAAAATAAGAACCATTAACCTTTTATAAATTCCTTTTGCTCTTTTATTTAATGCTGACTTCATATTAATGCACCATGAACTTGAAATGCAAAATCCAGAATCAGTCACTTGCGTTTGAAGACAGCTTAAATTGAACTTGTCTAAACCTGATGACTGATGTTTTCATTCACATTGAAGGTTCTTTTATTAACGGTCTTTGTATGTTTCAGATGGCCCCAGACTACGACCACCTGACGCTGATGGAGAAGGTGGAGGTGTTCGAGCACGCCGTCAACAACACGGCGGGAGACGACCTGGCCAAGCTGCTGTGGCTGAAGAGCCCCAGCTCCGAGGTGAGTGTTCTCTCCTCCGCCAGCACAGGATGATTGAGTGAACTTGATCTTTTCAGCATCCATCCTCACATTTCACTACTCCTGCGTTAAAATGTCAAGAGTGTTCAGTTGTCGAAAGATAACATGAAGACGTATACATTCACCTTATCCTTAGAGGCTTGACTGGCAGTGGTCTTATAAAGGTTTTCACTTGATGAAGAGGAAACATACAGAGCAGAGGAAAGCATCTTTCAGGGACCCTATTATCCTTTCAAGGGTTCCCCCTTCCTGTAATGTGCTATGTAGGTGATTGTGCATGTTAATGGTCTGCAAAGGCTAAATCCCAAAGTTCCCTCTCCCACACACTCACCTTGATTTCTCCAAGAGTTCAAGGTTACACGTGTAGAGAAAGGGATATACAAATGACCATGTTGTGGGTAATTTTCCTTTAAATAAAACAGTTGTTTTTGCTTTTAGTTTTCTGGGTTGTGTGTCCTACTTTTAAACCACTGACTTAGCAGAAATGAACACATTTTAAGAAACATTAGTACCTGGTGGTCCTCGTGTGTCTATCAAACAGAGATTTCTGCGCCATTTTCTACATTTTCTGCTCTCAAGGTGACTACAATACAGCTCTCATAAAACACACGTCCTCTCTCCTCCAGGTGTGGTTTGACAGAAGGACCAACTACACCCGCTCCCTGGCTGTGATGTCAATGGTCGGCTACATCCTGGGACTGGGTGACAGGTGGGTTTCTCTCCTTTAATGTTAACTTATTTTGTTAGTTAAATATGTTGTTCTTTTTATTTTATTTAATCTTTTATTGGACATTTTTACTTACAATTATTTTTCTAATAAAATAGCTTATTTTATTTGATCTTTTTATTTCACTTACTTATTTCTTGTGTTTTATAAATGTTTTTTTTATTATTTATTGCCTATTTTACCGCAGGATAAATCAAGTATTTCTGATTCTGCTGATTATAATGACAGTTATCATTAGTCATTAATACGAACATGATCTTTCTATTCTCCAGGCATCCATCCAATTTGATGTTGGACCGGTTAAGCGGCAAGATCCTCCACATTGACTTTGGAGACTGTTTTGAGGTGAAAGGAGATTTTCTGTCTTCACAACAGATAATTTTATTTATTTATTCATCAAAAACTAACCCATTCCAACGTTCAACAGGTCGCCATGACCAGAGAGAAATTCCCTGAGAAGATTCCCTTCAGACTGACGAGGATGCTGACCAACGCCATGGAGGTATGTCAAAATCCCTCTCACAGAAAACTCTTTTTTAATTACCGGTAGTTCATTTTTCTTTTTGTATAACGAGTTAGAATCCCCCCACATTAAAGCTACAAATCCTCCTCTACTGGACTTAAACTGAATCCTATCTGAACCTCTTCTTGTGTTTCTTCTGTAATTCAGTCCAAAAAATTATTAATCTTTGCCGAGTGTGAAGCGTTTTATCAGAAGTCACGACTCACTGTGCCTTGTATTTAATGAGAAAAGAAAAAAAAGAATTTCAGACGAAAGCATTAAGATGAGTTTTGGGTTGGATCATCTCTTTAACTACTTGGAGAAGTTTTTGAAGTTAGCAAATAAGCACAAAACAAGAATCAAGATTAAAAAAAGACTTGCATCCCCACGAAATCTTGGACTGTCAAAAAATGAACAACAATCAAATGCATCACCTTCCACTTTTAGACATTTTTCGTAATTTAATTTTTACAATTAAAGACGAAATAATGTATTAATTAATCTAGAAAGAAAGGCCCTCCATCGACCTACCAACATGGGACAGCAACGTGACCTTCAGGTGCTGGGAAACGTTTGTCTCCATCAGTGACGTTGTTTATGCTTGATTGTGCGGCAGGTGACAGGCTTGGACGGTAACTACCGGATCACCTGCCACACGGTGATGGAGGTGCTGAGGGAGCACCGGGACAGCGTCATGGCCGTGCTGGAGGCCTTCGTCTACGACCCGCTGCTCAACTGGAGGCTCATGGACAGTAAGAGACCTTTAGCTGAACAACAACCACCTTAAAGAATCACATAACAACAACAAACCCATAGAATGAAGAAGAATAAATACTGCAACGTTCTAATAATAGAAGCACATTTTCTTTCAAGAGTCCAAAGCATTACATTGAATCATATGAAGTGAACAAAACTCTCAGTAGTCAAATGTAAATCCCTTTGGCTTGTGTGCAAGAGAGAAATTGACCAAACGCTTAAGGAGGTGGCGTACACTTCTAAAGGTCGTTAGTTAAATTCAAGTGAACAAAGTGAATGATTGTCTCTGGCACTCCTTCACCTCACGCTGTCAAGGTTGCATTTAGCTAGACATTTGATCTGAAGTAGGATCATTCATCAGTCTTATTGTAAAGGAGGGTCAATGAGGTTTTCTTTACTTGAAGAAATAATAGGAGTCAGGGAATGTTTAGGTGGGTTTTTCTTAATTCAAACCATTATAACTAAAGGGGTAACAATAAGAGTAATCACTTTTGCTGCACTCCCTTTTTCTTTTATTATACTTGTACTTTTAAGTCCCAGTTTTTGTATTATGACATTTAAAATATATATATATATATATATTAAACATAAAAAAGCTATATCAAACATGCAAGAAAAATGCCCACTGGAAAAATAAATAAAACAAAAAGCATAGGCGGAACAAAACATTATAAAATGTGTACAAAAATATAAACATTTAAAGCAAAAATTGACTATTAATTGTTTCTGACTTACCCTACTTCCAGGGACTGCATTAGTTGGAAGCCCATTAGTGTTTTCTTTCTACACTTGACATTAATGTGCCCATTTCCTGAATTAACGTCCTCACAGTAGGACACTACTTAATGTTTAGTATGTCTCCTTGCAGCAGGAAACATAACTTAAGCTTGCGCATATTTAAAAAAATCTCGGAGACAACTCTATTTAACACATCGGTGTCTCAGTGAATATCAGCTTGTAAAGGTTATAAAAAAGCTTCAATCTTCTGCATGTTTAAAGGTCAGAACAATGCTGCTGCTTCCTGTGTGACGGATGAAAAATAGAACATAGTTATTTTTATGTCAAGGGAAAAATAGAACACTCACACACCTTTCCTGTTTCACCCGCAGCAAACACCAAAGGCAACAAGCGTTCCCGCACCAGGACTGACTCGTACACCGCGGGGTCAGTGGGTGAGTAGAGTACAAACTCACAGGTTTTCTATTCCGAAATGCTAGATCATGTTTAAATTGTGACTGTGTGGTGTCCTCTGCAGAGACTCTGGAGGGAATAGACCTCGGAGAGACGGTGCACAAGAAACCAGGGACCACGGTGCCAGAATCCATCCACTCCTTCAGTGAGTTAGCAGCTCCTCCTGTTGTTGATTCTTTTTTTCTTCATAAGTACCCCGCTCTCTCGCTGTCACATATGATTGGAGCAGATGCTGTTCTGTTGTAACGCAGCACTTAAGTCCACTTTGATTTGAGCTGCGAAAACGCTCAACGTAGAGAGCACTTGCATTTGCTTTTGTTGTTTTGTTGTAGTTGTTGATGCCAGCATGTGTGTTTTTATCTTTCAGTCGGAGATGGCATGGTACAACCTGAGGCTCTCAACAAGAAAGCCATTCAGATTATCAACAGAGTGAGAGACAAGCTCACAGGTGAGAAGTGCTGTACTAACAACCTAGATATAGTTATAGTATATCTAGAGTTTTGATCCTTTGTATCTTACTTTAAAGGAGCCCTATTATGCTCATATTCAGGTTCACCTTTGTATTTTGTGCCTCTACTTTGAATGTTTACATTCTTTATTGTTTAAAAACAGATTAAATTTTCCGGTAAAGTTTTAGTGTGTTGATGAGAGTTTGTTCCCGGCAGGTCGAGACTTCTCTCACGATGAGACGCTGGACGTGCCGACGCAGGTGGAGCTCCTGATCAAGCAGGCCACATCTCACGAAAACCTGTGCCAGTGCTACATCGGATGGTCAGTACTGCTGCTTTAATGTTTTAACTAACTGCATTTACTCAAGTACAGTACTTAAGAAGAATTGTAAGCAACCTGTACTTCACTATTTCCATTTAATGCTAATTTCTACTTCTGCTCTACTGAATTTCCAAAATATTGTACTTTTTACTTCAATATATTTACTTGACAATTTGAATGTCTTAGATTATTAATAAAAAATATACTTTTACAAACAAATGACTTGAGTATATATATTATAAATGTAGCTTTGCGTGTTTTGAAATGTGCTCTATCTTTACCAGCTTCAACACTTGTGATAAACACGTTAATATATATTAATATTTAATACAGTAGTTCAAAAATCTGAAATGGGCCGCGATTAGTACTTTTTTTATGTCTTTATTATAGAAGGACCATGCATTAAAATACATTAATCTCAAAAAGAAAAGTGATGTTTAACGCCACCTATAGCTAATGTCTAACTTCCATCTTCAGTGCCTGGGTACACACATAGCAATCAACACACACTTAAAACACTATATAGTCTCTTTTACAATAACTATACATACAGATACTCGCAGTATGTGTTGATGCTGATACTCCTACCCAGAGGTTGGTATAGGAATTGTACTTGTAGCAGAGTATTTTTAAACTATACTGTATATCTACGTTTACTGAAGTAAAAGATCTGTGTACTTATTATTGTATTTTAAACATGTGAAGTATTGGTAAAAGGGGTTGTGTGTTGTTCATATGATGTTTCTTTAGCATAGCCCAACCTGCACTTTCTGCACACATTTCTTTCATCTCTGAAAGCAGAATCAGACTTGACAGAACTGAACTTTTTTTTTTTTTTTTTCCTCTCTGCAGGTGTCCATTTTGGTGAAGAACTGTCTCCGGTGGACAAGGTTACACCTGACATTTTACTCTCACTGGTAAACAAAGAAGAAGCACTCGACTCAAATGGATATCCACTTGAAAAAGCCACGGTGCAAAGCCTTTGAGAAATATGTTTTTTTTCTTGTAGAATAATCCCACTTTCTGTCACATATTTAAGGTTATAAGAAAGAATCTTATGAGCTAAGTTCTAACCTGATAATCATAATTTAACTAAAATGACGTTCCTCGCTTTCAACATCATAATAAAAGCTTTATACGGTGGCCATATTGTAATAAGTTATGACATTTCTTATATCACTCGCTGTATTAAAAACCCTCCAGTCCGTTGTGTCATTGTGTATTGCAATACAGAAGTTGATTTGAGATGATCACAATGTACTGTATGGCCATTTGTGTGCCATTAAACCCTGTACAGATACCACTGTGGCTGCACTGTGTTCATTTGAAAGCTTTGGGTGCCTTTTATCAGTTACAAATGGAAAGAAAAGTATATTTTCAATACAAGGTAAGTAGTTTACACTCCCTTTCTTTTTCTTCTTGTGCCCACAGATGGCAGTCTGACTCCTATTAACATCCTTCTCCATCTTTTCAGGAAATACTTTGAGAGAGAATGCAGTCGTCAGGCCAGAGAGGAAGAGATGAAAGTAGATTCTCATCTTAAACAAGAACGGCAAAACTGAAATGCTTAAAATGTAAACATTTGCTGGCAAACTGAGTGAGATTTCAGGACATCAGCTTGCAGTGTAGTTATCCTCTTCTAGAGCACAGGTAGTCATTCCCATGCAGTCCCTTAAAGAAATAAAACCGAATCAGATGCAGCAAATTGCAGAGGCAGCAGACTACTATTAATTTGCTTTCCTGTGCTGTTATCTGGTCGATGCGAGCTAGCCTCTGTTTTTACTTGTGCTCATTGCTATTCCCGCTCTCATTTCTCCCTTTATTTCTTTCCCCTGCATTCTCCTCTGAAGGTTAATTACTTATAGATAGTTAAGGATTACGGATCAACGAAAAGCAGCCCATTGATCTCTTCCCTGCCCTGCTCACCTCTGCAATGTCACACTCTTTACACATCGGGACAAAGGCCTGGTGATTATCTGTTCATATCGATCCATTCCTCCTGTGGTTTCCCTCGTTTTCTCCCTCGCCTTCACTTTTCTCCTCTCTTGCCAACAGAAGCTCATTATTGAAAATGCGACTTTTCATAGCCGGAGCCACCGTGTCTGTTGTTCTTTCTCGCCCGTCTAATTTGTTTGTATTTTTTCTTTCTCTCACGTCTGTTGAGCGGCAGGCGAGTCAATAGCTGGAGTTAAATAGGCTGCACTGATTGTGAGAGGGATTTAGCTGTTTACCAACTGTGGAAATGGGCCTGGGCTGCGGAAAAGAACAGCACGGGTGTCTGCATGGAGCGAGTCAATATTGACAAATGATACTCATAGGGAGACAATGCCCCTAAACGAGGGAAGGTGAAGGGCTTGGCGGCAGGTGGTGCGGATGCAGCGAGCCGTGCTCCATCAGCTTTTGAAGTTGTCACATGAGGCCGTCCAGATCTGGCACCTTGAGCCGAGACATGAGGAATGATGGGAAACAGCGACACAAGTATTTCACTCCTCCGGGACCCAGGCGCGCTCCTCTCTCCTGTTAGTGTTTCCGCCGTCCTAGCTTGTCTTACTGCACAAGAGCTCCCCTCGGGATGTTATTCCACTTCTCTGCACCGTCTTAAGCTTCTCAAGACCTCCAGAGGTTCCATAAGTGCTTCGTCAGGCTCTCGCCATGTCTGGAGTGTATTCACACAAAGTAAAGCGCACACTCAGGATTTATTCTGCTAAAAGCTTCTAATTAGGCCTACTTTTAATTTCTCATCATTAAAGGAATACTTAACTTTCATAAATGATCATTCGTATATCAATTAGTCAACCTGTGTTACCTTGAATTCTTCAAGAATACTCCCTTTTCCTCCCGTGAATCCATTATGAAAAAAAGAAACAAATTAATAATGCCGATCCGTAAGAGCACAGACAAGTGAGGTTTAAATGAAAATGCGTGTTTGGGAAGTAGTGAGCACAAGACTTAATAAATGAGGAATATATTATACTTCATGAAATGTTTAAAAGTTTGTAAACTGTATAACACACTTCAGGTGTTATAAAATGTGGCCCATTAACGTGTTCGTTTTTTTTAACAAAAGACGAGTAATTTATGAACCAATTGTAATTTCGTGGATTAATTATACCATTGCTCGTAAATAAAGAACAATTCAAATTGCTCAGTTTGCTTTATGTTAAACTTTAAATGTGTTTTGGAAGGAGAAAAGTAGCCTATGCTAGTGGGGGGTGGCAAGCAATATCGTCTTGAATCAATACATCAATGTAGTGCCTTTTGGGCTGAGGGTTTAAAGGAAATACAAAGTAACAGTCTCTGAATAACAGCACGAGTAATTTCCTTTGTCAGGATCACAGGTGATGTGGGACAAAGGCCTTCGCGTCCAAACATCGGATCTAATTAAGGTGTCAGGAAAAATGTAAAGCTCTTGTAAATAAGTGTAGTTGGGAAGTGGTTCTGCAGGGGAAACTTTCAGAACCATTAGAACCATGAGTTAAGTTCCGTTAGCACGAGTTAAGAACATGTGCACACAGTGCTAGCTGGATACTGTCTGCTTCCTGACTGTTTCTCCAATAAACTAAATATTACTGTGCCTGCCTATGGCTATGAGAACATTTTGTCTCAAACTACACCACCCCCCTCCAACTCTTTCTCTGTGGCATGGCTAACAGCTGTGAAGAGAAAGATGGAGACAGAGGCGATATTGACGGCCAACCAGAGAAGTTCGATAGCAGGCTCTGGAGTTGTTTAAAGCAGGGCCTGCAGCCAGGACTCGGGCTGTCTTTGTGCACTCTAGTGTAAAGGCGCTATCGATGAACTTGACAGCAGTTTAGTCTGCCTGAGATCTGCTGCTCTCTAAGGACGCTTCAACCACGTTCTCCCGCCAGCTTTAGCTGTGTTTACTCTGCCTGTTAGTGTTCCCCGGAGCTTGGACGTCAGAAATGTACTTCGAAAGATTTTCTGTTTATGTAATCATCTGTTTGTCAAGTGCCACCAAATAGTGGGAGCACTTTAGTTACATGGGGACTTCAAGAAATACCTCACCCACAGTTTGTAGATCAATTACTAATGCTGTGTTACTTTGTGACGAAACCTTTATCTCTAACCAACAAATGTATTAGATAGTATGATTTTAGCTAAATGTCATGTTTTGGGGAGGTAATGGGCATATGAATGGATAACAGTGATGTAGCTGGTGGTGTTAGACACATTTTTCTTTACTTTGACTTTTCTTCGTTTTTGGTGGAGGATTAGCGCAGGGGAAAAAAATCCGGAACATTTATAGTTAACGTGGTGGGATTAAGTGATATGAATAGTGTGGTGAATATATTTTTTCCTTTTAAATAATCAGTACAAAATACAGAATCAAGAGCCTATTGGGATGTCATGTGTTAACCATGCTCTAAACACAAATAGAATCAGGCCAAGGAGGAACAAGATGAATAACTGGGCCAGTTCTAACTTAAAGCGGCACCGGGCATCTTGCATGTCGCGGCTCCAAAAAGCATTGTGAAGTAGTTTAGCATCTGAAAAATGACCTCTTTAATACGCAGCGACATCAGCAAATGGTGCACAGTATGCTCGTGTTTATGTTGACCCTGCTGGTTCCTAATGTTTTCTACAAAAAACAACAGAGGGGCAAGTGAAGAAGCAGATCTAACTGGGGAGTACAGTTTTCTGTTCATGTTCTGCAGATAGTCATGCTATAAATTCAAAATAAAAATCATCCATTGCTCTTAAAGGTCAAGTGTGTTAGTATATAAGGGACTGGTAACAGACATTGAATAAGTTAATGCTATGTTTTAATCAGTAAACAATCACTTAAACTACAAATTGTGATTTTAGCTGAAAATTAAACCCTAATATCTTAATAGAGTGCGGCTCCTCTTCAGCCATGTTTCTTTCTACGGTAACCCAGAAAGGACAAACTAACTGGCTCTAGAGATGGCCTTTAACGTGTCAATGTTAGCTAAAGGCCACTATATGTAGCTCACCGGCACTCTTGGCAAAGGTGTGTGTGAGTAGAAAAACGTTGGATGGAATCTGGAAACACATTGCTAGAGGCCACTTAATCCCACACACTGGACCTTTAAATGACGTTCAATGTTTCAATGGATTTACTGTAAAATCATTGAATTACATTGGTATTTGTTAGCGCCCCAAAGGCAAAGTGTTTCTGTAAAAGATCAAATCCAGGTCAACATTTCCTCCCAGCGATGTGAGGCAAGTCATGGGGGTAAAGGTTTCCTAGAGTGGTGCAGTAATGACGTATTTTGTAGAGTGACGCAGAAGTAAACTTTGCAGGGGCTCCCAATGGGATTATTTTGTTGGGTTTTGAAATATTGCAGAAAAATAAGATCTGTGGCAAACACATTTTTATACTTTCACATTTTGTTCAGCAGTAGGCTATAATCTCCCCAAATGAACACTTATATCACAGTTGATGCGTAAATCTATTAACGAACTACATCATAGTTGCATGCCTCGACCTTGCTAAGGCTAAGCTATGAGCAGCATGATGGCGTTTAGCATTCTCAATTAGCAATTTACCACCAACCACAACCGTTACTAGGACGGATAGAACTTGATAAGTTCACCACTGGTGTATTTACTGACGTATTTATGTCAAAAGTAGGAAAGTTTTTCAGTCTCAGACCTTATTTTGGGAATATATCCAAAAACAAGGGATCCTATAGAGCTAAATCACTTTTCTAGGTGTAGGACTGATTCCTTCACCACTCTTTAACCATGAGTCATTTGATTCTGCCTTGTATTTACATTAACACAGCAGTAACAGTGTTGTTGGGCAGTGAACGGATCAAACTGTGGGGCTGATATTATTATCCAAAACCTGATGCACTTACTGGACTGTCTCACCAAAAGTGGCCATAACAGTGTATTTGCTCAACCTGTGCTGCTGCAGTTGTGTGTGACGGCTCCCAGGTGTGAGTGTGTGCGGCTGTAGGAATGTGCACGCTCATCAAAATCCTTCCCTGGATAAATAAAGATTGAAAAAACGTTGTTTGTCTCCGTACTTACTTTAGATGCAGTTGTGGCACTTCGCAGCACCTGACGCTATTCAATTTGACATTTCTATTGCATTTCAGCTTTATTGGATTGCAGAGGGAGATAGTAGACGGATGCCTCTGAAGCATTTCCACACACAGTCTAAAAGCAGCTGAGACTCAGAAAAGCTTAACCATACAGCAAGTGCACTTTCACAATTTACCTTCACCTATAATGTCATATGTCTTTGTGTGTTTAGGAAGGCTTCTTGATTTTTCTTTGTACTTTACAGCTACAATAAGAATAATTTAGCAAAGACAGAGCTGCAATTCAGTCTTGTAGAATTGTCTCTTGTAGGTTCTTAAACGATTAGGCATAAATACTGTATATTTTGAAATGCTACATGTTGTGTTTGAGGTGTTAAAATGTCTTGTTTTCAACGACTATGCAGGTCAGCAGAGTTGACTAGAGTCCTTGAACGCTTCCCGAATTGCTGGAAATATCTATTTAATAGAGACAAGGCTGTTGGACAGAAGTGGATGCACCCCATCAGCAGCTAGCTCAGGTACACTGTGGTGTTCCAGCGATGCTATTAAAGGGCATGATGTGTGCCAAGAAAGCACTGCCCACACCATTACGCTCTGTCTGTCTCAGCCTGAACCTCTGACATACAGCCACCAGCTGCTGCGACACCACACACAGAACTGTTAGGTAGGGCAAAACATTTTCATCCACTGGGAATCCAGGTTCTTTGCATTTTCTTCTAACCCAGGTAGTTTCACCGAGATTTTCTTTTCATTTCAACAGGGCAGCTGGGAATTTAGTCCTTGGCTCGCAGGCATTTGCGCAGTGGTACAGTATGTCTGAAAGATGGAAGTCTGCTCTTTTACTCTCCCAACCCTTATTCACTTAGCAGGTTCAGGGGATCAAACCACCTACACCACAATGGGGCAAACTCGAATGAACGGGTTGCATAGTTACAAAACAGATCGCGCCATATATGGAGGAAAATTTAGGACAATACTAAGGGCCTTGAACTGACATGGGCCTTAAACAAATATTAGAACATTAGGGATTAATTACAATATTAAATTATTATATTATTCTTAAGATGATAATGTTTATTTATTTACATAAAGTAAATGTTCAATCTATTTAAAGTAATTAATTAACGCTAGAGAATTTTAATGAATTTTACCATTAAAATGAAATGCAGACTGTAATAGATGGCCTTTAAGACATTTGTTATAGGTGTGCAGAATGTTGCATGTCTACACAGCGTTATACTTTCACTGCTCAGTCAGGAAATATCTTACACTAATTATTGGACTACGAGAGGATTTCAACCATCCAAAGGTATGCTAAGGTTTATGACTTTGAAGGGTTCCATTGGGTAATTGATTTGTGGATACAGCCATTGCCCCATGTGGAAGTTGCCTAAGGCTTAGGTGGTGGGGCCCAATGTGATATCTTATCCTCGAGCTCAACCCCAGCTTCCTGGGGGGTGCTGGGTTCTTCGACTGCAGCTGGATTAGTTTGCGACAAAATGGATATAAATATGAGAGGAGTTCTATTGAGAGCCACGTATATGCTACCCTATGGTCCATTAGCCTCTGTGACCAAATGCAACCTGCAATGCAATCATTTTTCAGAAAATATAGATATGGTTTACCTAAGCCTTAATATGTGAATCCAGAGCATTTCTACTTAAATGGACTGTTTCTAGGCTGGTGTAACCAAGCTCTAACCTTTAGATTAATCATGAAACCACAGTAGCCTCTTCTTCATTTGCTTCTTTTCAGCGATCTAGTCCTTTACAGCCTTTTTCGTCTTCCCTGCAGTAAATGTGTGACTGATTTATCTTTTACCAATTCCGCTGCCTGCCAGTTTTGCAATGAGCTCTAAGTTTCCATACTGTAGTTATGGCCAACAAAAACAAGTCCTGGGTCATCCTCGGCCAGTGTACTGGTTGCATGCTTTTCTTGTTCACAACATTTTCTGAGGATGTGTGAAAATCTCTGGGTGTCTCGACAACAATGCCCGCCCACATGCACGCACTTGGATCATGTGTCTTACCCATGTGTGGTCAACTTGAAGAGTCCATTGCAGTCATGTGTGTTTGTGGAGCAGAGGTGTACCTGATAAAGTAAGACCCT